TTAAAATAATATCAAATCAAATATAAAAACAACGAGGTGTAGGATAAACAATTGTTAATTCATCGAAAAAAAATGTAATATTGTAATCTAAAAACTTTAATTTATTTTTCGATGTACCTTTGAAATCCACCGTTGAACTGAGTTATTCTGAATTCTCTGTTAAAGTACTTCTGTTACATTTAAGATTATAAGATTCTAATTTTAGCATTTTTTTTTTTCATTTTTATGTAATTATTTAAACATTCCCCTGCGCAGTGATGACATCAAGGGTAACTTTTTCCTGTAATATAAGTATGGGTATACTAGAGTATTCAAATAAATGTTAATTAATCGTAAAAAATGTATATTGTTGTTTAACAATACGGAATATATGTTCAACACACACCTTATTTCTTGAAATCCACCGTTAAATTGAAACTTTATCTTCTGTGAAAGTTTTTTTATTCAATGTTGTTTATATGACTTTCCGAAGGCTATATACGTATAACAAAAAGTAATATTCGTAATAAATAAATATTTCCTTTTATGGAAAGTCATATAAACGAGATTCAATAAAAGAACTTTCATAAAGGAAAACAAGCCAGTTTGAAAGCGAATTTCAAAGAAAGACGACTGTACTCCGAACATATATTCAGTACTTCTAAATTACAATATACATTTTTTTCGATTAATTAACAATTATTTAATTATTCTAACGCATTTTTTACTTATATTCAAGAGATTGTTTAAACTTATAGGTATATATTGTTTTAAATATTACATACACCTCTATTAACGTAGTTTCAATATATTATTTAATTTTTATTTTATGTTTCATTAGATGAAAATTTTATCCTCCCCTCCTTCCCCTTCCCTCGGAGTCATCACTGCGCAGAACATTAAAAAAATAAGATATTTGTTGAAACAATTAAATAATAATTAAAAGAATACTAAAATGAGAACGTTATAATCTTAAATTTTATTGATTAGGTGAATTATTGATTTTATACACATGCGCAACATTCGGAAAGTCATATAAACAATATTTAATAAAAGTAATTACATAGAAGACAAAGGCTCATTTCAACGGTAGATTTCGAAGAGAACAGTACATAGATCATATATTCCAAGCTTTTTAACAACAATAGACATTTTTTCGATTAATTAACAATTTTTTTTAATATTCTAATACACTCTAATTATATTTCAGATTGTGTCAACCCATATACATATTTTTTTAAACATTATATACCTATTAACGTGCTTTTTGAATATTATTTAATTTTTATTTTAATAAAAGAGTTTACTTTAATTTAATATAAGTTTCATTAAAATCTATTTACTTTTAGCATAAAAAATATTTACCAATACTTTTCAAAGAAATTGCAAAGATGCACAATTTGCAGCATTGCATTCTCTGACATTTTATGAAGTTTACATGCGAAATTTATAACTCAATATAGTATTCTACGTGTAGACAAAAGAGTGTACTTTAATTTAATATAAGTTTCATTAAAATCTATTCACTTCTAGTATAAAAAATATTAACCAAAACTTTTCAAAGAAATTGCAAAGATGCACAATTTATAGCATTGCAATCTCTGATATTTTGCGCTTTGCATATATAACAATACCGAGGAATTACTAGCAATGACTGATTTCCAGTTTAACGTTAACATATATATATATATATATACATATACATATACATAGGTATACATTTCTAACAAAATCTAATTTTAAAATAGGTAATATTTCTTCTCTCTCTCTCTCTCTCTTTTTCTCTTTTACTGACTCTGAGAAAAAAAGGAGAAAGAAATAGGAAAAGATGGATCGCATTACACGGTTTATAACTCTGTCAAGGATAGATACAAGAAGAAAATATATTCGAAGCGAGAAGCGAATAATTGAAATACCGTCACCACCGTCATAACGTGTGATGCCTTCGAAGGATGAATTAATGGCATTCATGAGAAAAATAAAAAGAACAAATAGTTTTAAAAAAAAAAAATAAGAGGGAATGTGAGTGATACTTTTTTTCTTCAATTTTTGATTTCATTCTTTCATCAATCTTTTATCATATATTTCATTATATTATTATTATTATAATATTCCATGAAAAATAAAAATTCGATTTTATTATCGACGAATATTTTCCACATTCTAATTGATAGTTGAAAAAATAATTTTTAACGCTAAACAGCGGAGAGGTGTTGGATAATGTGGGAAGGGGGTGGGGGTGGGGGTTACTATAATATAGACAATATTATTGTGTCTGAATTTCAATAAAATACATATCGGTATAGTATCCAAATAAGTTTGTTAAAACCAGTTATCATAACCGTCAAGGCTATTCAAACACATATCCTATGGTAATCGATATTTTCCATTAGAAACGATATCAAAAAAATCATATCACGTTGAAAGGGTTAAATAAAGTTTTCTTTGATAAATGATCGATAGGTTAATCGAAGTATATTATAGGATCGATCAATGATATCTCACCATTCGATGACATACTTTTTAACCTTTTATTTATATTCATTCGAATAAATCATAAAGTATTACACAATCACACAAACACACACACAGACACATACACAAAAGGTTTATTTTAATTAAGATATATAATTTTATTCGTAATAATAATAGGAAATAAACACAAATAATTTTGTTCAAGTGACGCGTTTAATTAATTAATATTATTAATAAATTATGAAATATATTGAATAATAATAAATTGAATGTGAACATGTGTGTGTGTGTGTAAATTATTGACAAGAGGAATCATCGTTAAAAACTAATGAAAATATATTGAAAGTGATTTGTAAAATGAGGAAGGGTGTTGGAAAAGGGTGACGAAGGAAGGGATAACAGTTGATGTATAAGTTCCTTTGCTTCCTCTATATAAATCAAAAGACCCCCTTTTACGGAAACGTAATTCACCGCGTCTTGTACACGTTCTTGGCACCCTCTGAGATACTTCTAAACGACAATGGAGAAAACAGGGGAGAAGACAAAAAAATGTCGAATACGCGTCGTAATGACTTACTTCACACCCTCTCTTTCTTTACGTCATCCCCTTTCCCGTTAGAAGTTGTTAGATATTGAAATAATCTTGAAAGATAATAAACCTACCATTGAAAATTTCATACTCTTATGTTAAACTTTTGTGTTTTGTTTATTTTTACTTTTAACATGATAAAATCATTTCGCAAATTATTTATTTTTTATACTTTTCTTCTTCTTCTTATTTATTTATTTATTTAATTATTTTCTTTTTAGATGAAGAGTAATATTTAAAGTTTATACTTTTTTATGTAAGTAACAATACGTGATAAAAAAAAAATAATTTCATGGTTAACAGTGATCATAAATAATAATGAGGTTGAATTAATTTTTTTTTTTTCTTATTCATTTTTAACATTTTTATTAATAGCGATTTGTGTCAAAAACCAACACCGTTGATCTTCGTAACAAATTGGACGAATTAAATAAACAATTTTTTGTTTAATAAACTCATTGTGAACATACATGTTCAATGTACATAATTGGACAATTTGTTTGGTTCACTTGAAAAATATATTTTACTTGAAAAATGAAATATATATATATATATATATATATATATGTGTGGCTGCATATGAGTATGTGTATGTATGCAAGAATAATGTAAGTGTATCCTAATACGAGTATCACGGAGTTAACACTTTCTTCGACGAACTTTGTACAACTTCATTTAACTTGTTCAACCAAATAGGAGCTTTCATGGTAACATCAAAACGAAAACGGAATAGCTGTTTCATAGGAGTTCCAATGTGATGAGCATTGAAGAAAGTTTACGAAAAAAAAAGAAGAAAAAAAGAAAGAAAGACAAATAGTCGTGAATTTGAAACAAATACTTCCAACGATACACGTACGTAGGTAGGTAGGTAGATGAAAAGTTATAGCAATATATATATATATATACAAATTTTCATTCGTGGGCGTACACGTATACACACGTGAAAACGATTCTCAAATGTGTGAGTAATTTTAGAAACTTGGCAGAATTCGATTTTATTTTTATTTTCATTCACATTAATTCTAACATTAAATGATTGAAAAATAATCGTGACAATAAATAATAAAGAATAAGAGATAATAAAAATAAAATCCGTTCAAAAAAAAGTGTTTCTTTTTTTTCTCATATATATATATATATAGAAAACAAGTTTGAAAAAAAAATTAAAAAAAAAAAAAGGGAAATATTTTTAAAAATTAGGTTAATCTTGACAGACACACGTTAGTTGGATTTTTCGATATAATTAAATCCTGTAAACATAAATGTGTGCCTTGGTAGCGGAATCGCATAAGTGCGTGTCTTGTTAAATTTAATAATATACTCATACTCGAATATCGTACAAATATTCACGCGAGTTATACTCCTAGAGAGAAATAATACTACTTGTGCTTACGAAATTAGATAACTAACATAATGCTATTTGAAAACGAAACTTAATTAATGAACTACTAATTATCAATAACCCTCTTCTCTTTCTTTTCTCTCTAACATATAATTATAACAATAAGAAAAAATAATATTAATTTTGTTTATAACAAAATAATTTTATTATATCAAAATTAATAGTGGGAAAAAGTTTTCGAATTTTTTTTCCTAACAAGTTTTGTAACGAATTACGAAGAATTAAATTGACGTGAAATAACGCGGGTGTATAAAATTTTTATTATAAAAAACAAAACAAACAAAAAATTAAGAAACTTTTCAAATTAGTTAATATTGAATAAAATTGATTACCTTTAGAAAGTTAATGTAGGTATTGTACACACACAGACAGACACGAACGTGAATTGAGAGAGAAAAGTTGTGTAAAAGCTTAATATTTATAAAATTATTTCACGATGAAATTCACGTTGATTTTTCGAAGTATACTGAAAATTACTTTTCAACCCACTCTCTCCCTCTCTCTCTCTCTCTCTATCAGCAGATACGTATTATTATATATTATCATTTAATTTACCTTGACAGGTATACAAAAAATGATCAAAAGAAGATCAGCTGTAGCCAAACCACCAAGAAAAACGTTGGTTGGGGTTGAAGGTAATGGTCGAAGTCTTGGACAAAGTGTTGATGCAATGATGACTACGTTTCCTAGATAATAAAAATAACTTTGTTATTAAATTGTTATTAATATTATTATTATTATTATTATACGATAATCTTATTGATATTTAAGAGAGGAATTTCTAACTGCGAATTTGAATTCATGCGAAATGACAGATTTAATGGTTTCCATTCTAACTATTAATACCATTACTATTACTACTATTACTATACGTTTCTATACGTTGTGTTGAGTTCAATGAAAATATCGATACAACGTAGAAACGTCGTCATCGGTAAAACGTGCACGAAATACCGAAGTTCATTGTTAACATCACATTGAGTATGAAAATGTCATAATAAATTAGTCTATTTATTCGAGAGTATAAATAACAATTATTTATGATCGGATATTATATATTTAATCGTTGAGAAATTAGCTTATATAATATTGTATTTATTAACAGTATATTATTAATAATTATGACTTAATGACGAATCTCTTCTATTTGAATTCGATTAATCAAAATTGTCTAATAATAATAATATAATTGAAGAAATAAATATATTTTCTTTAAAACTCTACGATTTAGGATACTCACAAAAATGGTCATTTGTTAACATAAATAAAGAAATAAATTCTTTTCAAAATGCATATGCAACCATTTCTACGAATGCTAAAAACCAAAATGCATCTTAACTAAATTTTTCTTTGTCTTCTTTTATTTTGTTCATTAACGCAATATAAATGTTCTCATTAACTTAGAAAAATATAATGGAGCGTATGAATGAACTTTATAGGTATATATGATTCGTAATTAAAAAAGTAACCAAATGAAAGTGTACTTTTCATTCGGAAAATTTAACTTTGCACAGTTGATTTGTATATGCTGTTATAGAATTTCATTTTTCTTATCGGATAATTTTGTCTTCTTTAATTCTTTACTATTTTTTTTTTCTTCTTCTTCTTCTTCAAATGTAAGAGATACAAAAAAACAAGACGTTTATTTTTTCTTTTTTTTGTTTTTTATATTTGATCTTAAAATAATGAATATTTTAATTAAAATTTTCTTAAGGATTTATCAAAAAGATTTGATTTTTAATTAACGCTTACCTATTAATCCAAGAAAAAAGGTCAACGAATAGACAACGAGAACAGGCGCAAGCTCCTTCCATCTGAATTTGGTGAAGGACTCGTTCATATCATAATCGGGAAACTTGATTGTTCCATTTGTCGCATTGAACGTCATAACGATCGATTTTCACTATTCACGAAACTTCCAAAAGTAAATTAGATCAACGAACGAACGAACAAACGAACGAACAAACGTAATAGTTTTCTAATTTCTCATTTAACATCAGCAGCGACACAATTGAAAACTTAGAAAATCCAAATCACCTAACGTAAAGTTCATCCCCATTATCCGTCATGCACTTTTGTTTTAAATTCACAATCGATAGATTTTATTAAAGTTTCACGTTCATTGGTTTTTTATTTAAATATAAAATGTTCATCGAATCCATGAACCGGTATATATATATTTCAATTTGAATTTTTACAATAATCGAATTGTAATCAATCTCTAGAAATAAAAACACAAAAATAAGCGTAATTGTTAATTTTGAAATATAATTTCTTTCGATCTTATATTTTACTTTTTGTTGTCACAATCATTAGAATAAAAATGATCAAATTTATAGAATTTATATGTACGGTGAAATTGCATTTACATTGATCACAAATTTTATATTTTATATTATATATATAACGTGCATTTAAATATTTATTAAAAATTCATATAATATTCCCCCATATAAAAAATTGATCTAACATAAATGAAAACTTATATTAAACATTAGAAAAATGTGTACACATATTTAGAATAAAAAAGAAACAAAAGCAAAATTGTAACGAAACCTCTCCCCAAAAAAACAAATACACGCGTAAATATCTAAACGTATGACTCGAAAGTTACAGAGGGTTGAAAGTCGAAAGAAAAGAAAAAAAAAGAAAACGAAGAAGAAGAAGAAGAGGGGAGAAGAAAAATAATGGGAACGCGACTTCGCATCGAGGGTAACTGCGTTCCGGTCGTGAGAATCCTCGAAATAAGGAAAAAAAAAAAATGAAAGAAAGATAGATAGAAGAAGAAGAAGAAGAAGAAAAAAAAATAGAAAGGAAGGGGTGAAAAAAGTAAAGCAAAAAAAAGAAAGAAAGAAAGAAAGAAAGAAGAAAACAAAAAGCAGAGATACAAAATCGCGATAATGACGATAATTGGAACGAGGGTGCATTTGGAATAGACTGAAAAAAAAAAGAAAAGAAAAAGAAGAAGAAGTTGGCAACAACTTCAATGAAAAAAAAATCTCTCTCTCTCTTTTTCTCTCGATTTTAATCCGAGATTCAAAATATTTCGAAAAATTTTTTCTTACATTTCGTTGCATTATGTAAAACATTTGTTCCATTCGAATCGAATATACCCCCCCCTTCTACCCCCTTCTTATTTCACTTATTGTTCAATTCAATATTGTTAATCGAGTAAAAACTTTTCAAACATTTTTTTTCTCGTAACGCGTAGACCATTGTTGTTTCTCGAAACAACGTGTAAAACATTGTAATGCGATTTAAAATGATAATAGGAACAGAAAAATCGATGCTTGGAAAACCGAAAAAGTGACCAAAAAAAAGAAAGAAATAGAAATTCGAGTTTCCAAAGAATTATTCAATAACGTTATTTCATTCGATACCAAACAAAATTACATTTCCCTTCGAGAATGCTACTGTGTTTAAATTGAAAACAGCTTTCTTTCCCTACCCCTCTCCTCCCACCCTCCCCTCTCCCCTCTCCCTTCCCTCACTCGTATACTCTTTCATATTTGCATCATAAAAATCTCATCGATTGTAAATACACGATTAACTATGATAATATTCATATTTTTCACGCAAAAGCAAATAACAATACTTGATCATAAATTTATATTGATAAATTAAAATTTTATTCAAATAGAAATAGAGAGAAAGAGAGAGAAATAAAAAATGGTGGACACGTATTATATTTAACGATAACGCGTAGGTCATCGATAATCAATCGATAGATTTCTTTTCGGAATAAATTAAATATGAACGTTTTGGGAATAAGAATGGTAGCTAGCATTACCATAAAACAATCTTTTAACGAGTGATCTCTTCTAAGCATCCTAGAAAATCCATCTCGAGAACATAATGGATGAGAGAGACTCATAGGTTCAGCTTTAACCCCTTGAATACTCTCTCTCTCTCTCTCTCTCTCTCTCTCTCTCTCTTTCTGACTCGTGTAACTCGGACAGATTTGCTTTTGCAGAAATGCTTCGCGTTTCCGTAATGATATCTATGCATGTATATCAATGCGATATTGAAATCGGTTTGGTGGATTCATATGCAACACTGGGTGGCCCAAAAATCACTAAACCATTACGACAGGTAATAGAATACAGTTTTAGAAAGAGAACCACTTGATAGATTTAAAATTCAGAGACAAAATAAATTAATAAATCATTTGCAAGAAATATATTTATCATTTTTGTCATAGAATAAATTGTGAATATTTAATAAATGAAATATTTATTGTATTTTTAAATTGTCTAGCAAACAATTTTTAAGCCACCCTATACAACTACTTATATATATTTGTGTGGGTGTGTGTATGTACATTTATATATAGATGCATAAATGCATATTATCTTGGTAAGTATGCGATCAAGTATGGAAAAGTGGAAGTAGATTTCTGTTTGAATCGTAGCAGGATATTCTAACGTGTAACGATTAATTGAAATGTGATATGTATCAACAACTAAATTAAACAACGAGAAATATGATGTTGGTAGTATTTTTTTTAAATAAAAAAAAGGATAAAAATAGTTTCACGTAATAATAATAATAATAATAATAAACTCGTATAATGCTTTCAGTCAGAAAAATATATAAAAGAAAAATATCATCAATCGTTTCTTTGTGTAATAAAAATTATTTTTAATAGGAATTTATATGTTGGTAAAAATAATTCATATCAAAATTGAAATTTTATATTGTATATTATATTGATTTAACAATTATTTTTGAAATATGATATCAATATTAAAGAAATAAATCAAGTAAAGACACAATATTATATCGTAGTATTTTTTTTAATAAACATAGAAATATAACTTTTTCAATGAGATAATACAATACTTTAATAAAACTCAATAATAATAATAATAATAATAATAGAAAACTTTTGTAAGTTTTCATCAAGAACAGTAGTAACACAGTGACAGCTAAAAAAGAAAAAAGAAATAAATAAATATAATATAAATTAGCATCGATCGTACACTCCTTGAAAATAATTCTTTCTACGAATTCCCTAGGTTAAAAAGTTTTCGATATCAATTGTGATTTTCTACTATTTCTTCTGCTCCTTTTACCCTTAACTTTTCTTTTTCTTATATTTTAAAAGTGGCAAAAGAAAAAATAGAAATAAAATAAGAGGAAGAAGAAGAAGAAGAAGAAGAAGTAAAAGGGAAAAAAAAACAGAAAAAAAAAAAAAAGTAAAAAAAAGTTTATCGAGATAGTCGGATAGCTTCGAGAGAGAATCACATCTTCAAAGTCAAGTGACCAACATAGTAAATCCAATAGCCGAGTTAGCCTGATCTAAAATTATCTGACTTCGAGTGTATGAAACATCTCTTTCGAAAATCATCAAAATGAATTTATTTTTTTTCGATCTAGTAACGATTTCCTTCGAGTAGATCAATCTACTACATTTGAGTATTTCAAATTTTCATTTAAATAGTATCACAAAATGATCATTTCAAAAATGAAATCATTTTAAGAAAGAATTATTACGAGTAATTATATCGTTGAGAATTAACCTCGTATTATAATTGCGTATAACGAAAAATAAATTAATGTAAGTCATTAAGTAATAAGAATATTGGAGAATAAAAAAGAAAAAAAAGAAAAAACGTCAAATGATCTTCGTAATTGGAGATTACAAATACCTGAGAACACCTTTATTGGATGAACTTTGTGTAATATCCTATAATATCATAATTACATTCAATCTTAATTCTAACAATTTTCAACAGATTTCTTTTCTCACTCTTTCTCTTGGTTATAATCTAATCTGTGAAATAAAATATAATAACCCTAAAACTCTCTTTATAATAATTCTATTTAAATAAA